ACCATTCAGATATTTTGAAAGGTATCTGTGCCCGCAAGTAATTTAATACTCAAATGACATTTTTCTTTGGCAATAGCTTTTATCTCACCAACGGTCCTTTCATAACACTTCCAGTAAGAAGGGATAATCTGGTTTGATAGCATGTTTAGAGGGTTAAAATCTTTAAGTTGAAGGTTTAGCTAAAATAAATTTCATGACAATAAAAACTTTTCTGTGCTCTTTTCAGAGTTGGCAGGAAATATTTCAAAATCTGAAAAGGTGTAGTGTGAGTAATTTGAGAGTCCAGAGTCTCTTAAAGAAGCTGGTAAGTATGAGTTGTATGGAAATTAGTTTGTTCTTAGGTGTTAATTTTACAGTGGAAAGTCAGGATGTGTACCAATCTTTTCCCTGAAAAATTGGTGAAATTTATGGGGAATTAAAGTGCTAACTGGATTAATGCCCTAGAGATGAAGAGTTGCAAATGGTAGGAAAATGCAGAATCTGAAGTAGAAGTAAAGGATCATAAGCAAAGGGTCGTGATTCCTCCTCCTTTTTTGGATGCTCAGGGCCAGTATGCCTAATATTCCTGGGATTGTTATCCGTATTTTTCTCATTTATTTTATCTTTTTTTGTTTTTGAATCTGCTTTAGAATTTTTTTCCCCTGAAAGAAGTAAAGAGTAACTAAATAAAAATGAAATAAGGTGTTTCATGGTTGCACCATAGTTTGCTTTGTCTTAGAGCTGGTTTATGTTTTTGACCCTCTTATCTAAATTGCAGGATAACTGCGTCCTCCTGGGCTCTGTCGCTGTGCTGCTGATGCCTCTGTGCGCTTGTGTTGTTTTGTAGACTGGCTCTCAGTGATTGCTCATCCCTGCTGGACTTTGGTTCTGTGGTGCAGATGGAGTATAGGACTCGGGTGTCTGGGCCAGAGTGAGTGAAGCCTGAGGTTCAAGATGGAGAAGAAACGAAGAAAGAAATGAAAGCCTCTTTCCAGGCCAAGGCACAAAAGGCCATGAAATTTAACTTTTATTTACGTTGGACAAGACTGTAAAATGGCTGATCAGTAATGTTTCAGCTTTTAGCTGAAACAAAAATTAACTTATAATCAAGGAAGAAAAAAGTGCGATTTGAATTTATGTGATTTTATGACCCTATTCACTGATGACCATGAAGCTTGTCAACATCTGGCTGCTTCTGCTGGTGGTGTTGCTCTGTGGGAAGAAACATCTGGGGGACAGACTGGAAAAGAAATCATTTGAAAAGGCCCCGTGCCCTGGCTGTTCCCACCTGACTTTGAAGGTGGAGTTCTCCTCAACGGTTGTGGAATATGGTAATGGTATTATTTTAAATGTTAGGGACCTCCCCCCAGATGC